TCTGATATTTCAAATATTTTTTTGTATTTTTACTCAGTGAATAAAATTTTAAGTATTACCTTTGATTGTAAGGGAATTTTTTGAAGTGAGTCAACTATCGTTTTCTGACTAATTTGGAAAATCATGGTTCATGCCATTTTGTCCAAAAAAAATTGTTGCATTCAATGGGTGAACTCGATTTTGATGATTAGAATAAATTAGAGACCCAAAAATATAGTTGAATTAAATTAAAAATTAAATATAAACTATTATTCATAGCTGCAAGCTGATTACGTTAATATTGATAATATTTGTGATGATGATACTGTGCCACTATACATTCGGATTTACTAAATAATAATTCGATTCGGAATTATTTATAATACTAATGAAATGAATGCAAAATATGATCATATTTTATTAATTAAGAAAAAGCAAAATTAGTAGAATGCTAAAGCATCAATCGTAATTGGGTAATAGTAAGTAATTCATTAAATCAGACGATTTTATGCGTATCAGTGGATAAAAAATACAATTTTAAAAAATATAACTATCGAACTACAGTTTGCTATTGTTTTTTCATTTATTTGTGCATTTAAGGCTTAGTGCTTACTTTGATCATGATATTCTTCTAACAGCACACACTATTGTTTTCAAGTTGAAACACTAGCCAATAGTGAGTGCGAGGAAATGTTTTTGAAAGAATAAAGGCCAATTTTAATAGTTATCATAATAGTGTATCATTTAGGGCCTTCATTCAATCGTCTCTTATTCTTGACCTTAATTATATCAATAACTATCAGCCGAGTAATGTACATGACAGGTTTTTTTCAAGTGCCATTAGTACTGTTTCTATTTATTAAATTATAAAAGTGACATTAAAGCGTGTTGTCATATTATCATTGTTGAGTTTTGGTCAAGTGGGAATGAAGGATCAAATATGTCAAGGTCCATTTTGATAGGGGGGGGGGAATAATTAGAGTCGACTCAGGTATTCCAGAGAGTTGGCCAAGTCGGTTGCTGTCCGTGAATAGCCAGGACGTGCAATGGGTTTGTGTCACTTTTATCGAGACAATGGGGCTCTGGATAAAGTGGGTTCGATGCCAAATAGTTCAAGGAGGAGGAGTCAAGAAGGGTAAAGCAGTTGATTAGCCTCCGATGTGATTAGACTGATGCAGATAGATCAGGATTCACATAAGCGTACCCCACACCGGTGACTCTTGCTTTCACACAAGACACAGTTGGGAATACGTGGAAATTAATCAGTGACAAGATAATTGAAACATGCCTTTTACTTAAATGTCCCCAAAATACGTACAAATGCGTGAAAAAGTCCTGTTGAAAGAGTATTTAAGCAAACGTGAGTTAGTTGATTGAAACTAAAAAATAAAGATAGCTTTTGATAAGCTGATCAAAGTGTTCCATTTGAGGTCAATATATATGTTATTGTGAACGATATTTGGACACACATATTTGAAATCTTTAAAAATTTAGTTATATTAAATGACAGGTATTTTATTAGTTATCATTAGCCCTTTAGCTGACTTCGAGCTTCATAGAAGTTAGGAACATCAAAGTCACAAAAATTCGAGAGACATGCAGACGCAAAGACAGATAAGGAGTAAGATGAGTACTTTGGAAGTGGTCGAATATGACATACAACGGGATCGTGGTAGTTTCAAATCAGAAGTCAACTGACATATAAGTATACGTTGCCCAGGGTACACCATGTGGAGGTAAGTCTATCGCGCACCCCGCCTTTCAAAAATACCATCGGTCATTATAAATATGGATTAACCACTTAATTAAAATACTTAAAGGAAGAACGTTCACAAGAGAGACCTTATCATGCAGATGACAAGGGCTCAGGCTTAATTTACTTTCAGTTTGATCTCGGGAGTCAAGGCTGCGATCGGGTATTGATGCAAATGCGCCATTGTTCTTTGTGTGCGGGCTATCCCCTTGTTCATCCGTGTCCCTCATTTTGCGAAGTCACGCTGACTCATTGTCTTCGACTAATCAATAAACTACAAACACCCTGGACCAACATTATTAGTAAGTTGACCATCGCCTTTCTGTGTTCATACCCTCAATTCCTATCAACGCAGTGTTTAACCAAAAAATAAGATTTAGATTTGAAAAAGAACGTGTCTTTCTCTTCATTCTCGGTGAATATATATATATATATATATATATATGTGTGTGTGTGTGTTCTTCTTAAGTGAAATATTTTACTTCCGTATTATCGCCCATGGGCACTTATTCGGGTGAGTGGTTATTTGCTTCCAAATGGAAGTTTCCGTTTAAGCGTCCTGGGCGAATTTTCGGAAAACACCGATGCATTCTCAAATTTTACTCCTAGTTTTTAGTCTCCTGATTTAACATTGATATTAGGCTATAAGGCAAGATGTTTTTTGGAAATACTTGGTAAGATTACGTGTTTATGTGGTTGCAGTAAGGGCAGGTAAATCGTAATTTTACTTTTCTTCTTAAGAAAACATTTTGAGTTCTGCCTTGAAACCGAAGTCTTCGGTTTTTCGCTTTGTGTGCCACTAAGTTACAAAAATCTCATAGCTTATCACCACTAAAGACTTGCTGAAGGAGGTACGATAAGTCTGATCCTTGTTATCCTGCATTTCTCAAACAGATTAAGGTTTTTTCTGATTGCTGAAATGCAAAAACTCGAAATTGAATATGTTCACGCTCTGATAAATCTTTGAAAACCACAAAAATGCCCTTCTTTGCACTTTTAGGGACAAAGAATTTGTATTGTAAAAACGAATAAACTTGAATAAACGCCATTAAAGTTACCTATTTGTGCAATTGTTACTTTCAGACACTCTGTATGAGCAATTGCAGGGTTGGTCGAATCCGCCTAACCTAATACTCAAGAATATCATCATCTACTCACCTAGAGCCATCCTCGAATTCCAAAAGACAATCCTTAAATCCGTACAAGACGTCGTAAGTTAACGCATTTGCTGATAATATTTACAACCGATTGTGTGCTCTTTACATCGGCCTGTTTATTTGAACAAAAAGAAATCTGAGACATTAAATCTTAAATGCATTTTGGTTGGCCTTAATCTTGGAACACCTTTCGTATCGTATGGTTCTCTTTCAAAAAAACTTCATTGGTACTACACTCGTAACAGAAGGGGCTATTGGCGTTTGAACGATGCTCAAAACGTGTTCTTAGCCTTCGTCTGATACACCACCAAAACTCCCTCATGTCGGCGACATCAGACTACTACTGTGAAACAAGCGCGTGTGGAATTGGGTGCAATTTTTTTCAAATAAAAAATTCAGGCGTGTCCTCACCCTATTAAATGTATAAATATTTATTTATTTATTTATTTATAAATATAAATATTAAATATGAATATTTGAGATTGAAGAATCGTCTAGATTGTGGTTTGTACGCCGTACCAAGACCTACCAAATTGATTTCGCTTGCTGTGCCAATGTGTAGAGTGTGGTATGATACCGATCGCGTTTCGATTTTCACTAATTGTACTCACAATCACATACCATTTTCCAATAATTCATACAAGTGATTGCTTGTACGGTATCTACTACGCAAATAAATTCACAGCTTTGTCAAACCTTTATAACTATTTGCTAAGGAGAGAGAAATATAAGCATTTTGTCTTCTTCAAGCCTAAATTATGGCCATTCGAGCATTTGATTCGTTAGTACATGCGAAAAAAGTTGTATGAAACATAGTTGGAATATACGATACTATCTTCACTTACGTTTAGTTTCCATTAGAGCAGATGTTAAGTTTTGTTTTAACCAATAGAGGAAGGGGTAAAGAGAAGTTGAACAACGAGAATGCGAGTTTCAAAGAAGTTCGAAATTTTTAATCCGAATAAAACTACTTTTAAGTCGTTTTTTATTAAACTAATTTATTTATATCAAATGGCAGGCGTTTTGATGGTTAGAATTGGCCCTTTAGTTGACTTCAGGCTTCCAAGTGAAAAAGTCGAGAGGGGGGAAACAGAAGAGTGTTTCTAAAACAAAGGTAGAAAAAGGTGAGGTGAGTACTGTGGAAGTAGTCGAATATGGAGACACAAAGGTAGAGTGAAAAAGGTGAGGTGAGTACTGTGGAAGTAGTCGAATATGAAATACAATGGAGTCATGGCAATTTGAAGTCAGAAGTCAACTGCCAGTTTATTGAATTTTGCTGTATGAGTATACGTTGCCCAGGGTGTACCACGTGGAGGTAAGTCTATCCCACACTATATTATAAATATAAATCTCCATTTTAAAATTCTCTGGGCAGTTTTATTACTTTTATTTTCTGCAAACTAAATCGAATTTTAAGTTTTGACAGCCATTAAATGTAGAAAGTTCCCCCCCCCCTCTTACTGGAATCAGAAACACTAAGTAACTTTAATGTTGAAACAGAAATAAATAAGAATATCTTGAAGACAGGGCTTGTGAGTTTGTGAAATTGGTCATATTTAGACACTACTACAGCTTTTATCACAAATTTATTGTACCCATTTTTCCACGGATGAATCATATTGACCTTCTATAGGTATAAGAGTTAGGCATTGCTAATTGACTCGCCACCAAAATCGACGCCTTTTCCTTTTTAGGCTCCTTTGGACTGCCGATTCGCGTACAATCTCATTGAAGCTGGAACAGACAGATTCCCAGAAATGCTTCCACATTTGGGTCGTGCTCAATCTGCAGTACCCTTGCCAATACAGACTCAATTTATGCGGATTTCGCATAAGGTAAAGTTTTATCACCTGATTCTGGCATATAATTAAGTGCGTATAATGGTGCATAACTTAGCATAAAAAATCCGATGATTTGACATGAAATGAACAGGTCTGTTTGAAGTCGCTTTTAGAGAACTGGTTTATTCCGCCAATTGAACAGGTCTTTAAATGAATGTAAAGCAAGTTCTCAGTATAAAATATACTTCGTTTTTTTTTATTTCTACCTTCCAACTCCAACTCTTTTTCACCTTCCTCAGGGTCTGCTCAAACACCGCTTTTGATGACTTAAAATGCCTCAAATGTATTCGTTCCAACCGCTACTTGATGGGACCTGACTTTTTCGCGAAATGAATAATTCAGATGGTGCAAGAGTGAAGTAGAAGTAGAAGTGTGGACATTAACTTGAAATCCACAAATTGCTGAAATATTTCCCAGTGAATATAGTTGTCTGAGTTGTTCGAAGTTCTTAATCTAAAGGTTTCATAAAAATGTGTAAATACTTGAATTTTACAAAAATTATTTGTTGAGCTCTAGTACTGAAGAATGCGAGTGCTTTTTCAAGTCTTCTCTAAGTAATACATATCTTACAAATTGTCAGTTTTATGAATACAGGTTAAATAATATTATATAACTTATAATTTATATTATTATATTGAAACTTGGATTTCAAATTGCGTTTAAAATTTAAGAATTTTAAGCAAAAATTTAGGGAACAATATGATATGAAACAAGCCAGTATGCAAAAAAATATGTTAATTTAAAAATCAATAGTTGGCAAAATGTCATCCTCAACTTGTCCAAATTGGAAAAAAAATTAGGCAAAAGGTTGACTCATCTGAGCCAAATTTGATTATTAGTTTGCCGGTATTACAATTAATCAGTACCTATTCACCTAAAGTATAATAATCTTGACTTTTATCTTCATTGAATACATTTATTCCATTTGATAGATGCAAAGTCTTAAGGGATTGTGGATTAATGCACCCTCCAAAATTTGTCGTGAATCACCACATCTTTCTCTGTCAACTACAGGTTCTTTGCAGAAGTGCTGGAATGGTTCTGCTGTTGGGGCGTGAGTAATTATCACCTAACTAATTAATTATTATGATTTTATTGATTTGGATTAACTCGACCAATAACACCTCACGATTGCTATTATCTCCTACTTAAATGAATACGCAGTATACTCAGATAAAAGCTAAGAGCTCTCTGCTTTAGAGCCCACATTCCTTTGTGTACTTTCTAACAAACTCGCTTAGGGTTGCGTTATTTTTGCGCCTAATTCGTCTTACTTTATAAGCAAAATTATTGATTATTGTTATATTATTATGAGAAGAATTTAGTGCCTGTACTCTAACCGACAACTAAATTGACAGGTACCGCGGTTCCACCTATTTTTTGCCATCATCATAGTGACCCATTTAGCTGTGCCAGTTTTGTTACTAAGAAATGGGTTATATATTGTTAGCATCAATGCCTGAAACTGGAGTATAAATTTTAATCGTTTAAATATAACTCCCTGGAAACGGATATTGGATATGTGGTAAGGAGTAATTTAGAAGACATTCTGCATAACTAGTTTGTGGATAACCTTTAATCTAAATTTGATAAAAAGTATTGTCTTTGTAGAGGAAGATAAGGTGCCTTATTTAGCTTTCTGTAATATTTATTCCACTTTAAAATTCCTTGCATGATTTTCTTCTGTTACCTGACTACATTTTACCTCTGTAACATCGAAACAATGACAATAAAATAGGTCTTTAGAAGTGAACCTTCTCTAAATCCTTCATTCTCATCTGTCTGCTTTTCTGACATCTCCCCCTGGTCACGTCAACACCCCCTCTCACCCCCTCTCCCCCCCCCCCCGCCCGGGTTGTCACTCTCGTACCTACTTATAAAAGTCATTAATTGGAAGTGTAATCGTATTATTGCAATTTCGAATGTGTTATTTTAGTAGCTGGCGCAATATAAATTAATTTAACCAAAACTTAAGTAAAATTTAATTTGCCTTTTTTAACGTATGTCATACAAATACATACAAACTTTAACCAAGCACTTACATTCTTTCAACATCAAATGAATGTTTTTTTTTGCGTTGATATACAACTCCGATTAAGGCGAGATAGCATCTCGTTTAATGCAAAGTTTCATGTGATTAATTGAATTATTCACTGGTTTGTTTATTTAGTGATTAATTACTGCTAATTTCATTTGAGTTTATTTTTTACTGTTTCAAAACATGGATTCCAGATGGTCAGTAACTATTGTTTTTCAAACTATGCTGTATAAATTATTGCGAAACGCATTTTAAGCAGTCGATTGAATTAATAACTTATGTATTTATTTCAAATGGCAGGCGTTTTGATATCTGACTTCAGGCTTCACAGAGGGAGGATTCATCAAAGTAGAATAAAGTCGAGGTGTGGGGAGCAGAAGGGCGATTCACAGATGTAAAAGAGACAAATAGACACAAAGGTAGAGTAAAGGTAAGATGAGTACTGTGGAAGGGGTCGAATATGACAAGCAGTCGAGCCATGGTAATTTGAAGTCAGAAGTCAGCTGCCGGTTAATAGACTTTTTTGCCGTATGAGTATACGTTGCCCAGGGTGCACCACGTGGAAGTAAGTCTATCGCACACCCCGAATTAATAACTTAGAGCATACACTACAGTATGATCTGCACAACTTCTAATATGAACTAGCGTGACTTTGGTTCAATGCTTAATATACATTTTTGAGATTGTGGACTCGGTGATCATCAGTATATGTCAGGTAATGAAGTGTACTTATTAAATCTGCTTACTACATGTGGCAAAATTCGTGCCCTTCGTTAGTTTTCTCCCTAATACTAGAGATTTATTTCGCATTTTGAATTCAATAAACAAAATTGACCACCATTATTTATTTATTTCAAATGGCAGGCATTTTGATAGTTATCATTAGCCCTTTAGTGGACTTCGGGCTTCACAGAAGGGAGGAACATTAAAGTGAGAAAAATTCGACAGGGGGAAAGAAGAGCGACAGACAGACAGACACAAAATGCAGAGAAAAAGCTAGATGAATACTGTGGAAGGGGTCGAATATGACATAGAGTGGGGTAATGGTAGTTTGAAGTCAGAAGTCAACTGCCGATTAATAGACTTTTTTGCCGTATGAGTATACGTTGCCCAGGGTGCACCACGTGGAGGTAAGTCTATCGCACACCCCAAATTAACCACCATTATAGACCTTAAGAATTAGCCAAAAAATGTTGGGAAAATTTTTTGGGGTGTGACATTATAAACTACCCATTCTGCAGATGGCGTATAGCTTACCGCTTAAGAATAAATCAATACGTTGGGTGTAACATTAATTCGAATCAATATTATTACTTAAAATCATTTTACATT